TGTCTTTTGCTAAAAATCCACAGAGGAGAGGCTTATAGTTCACCCATTGAACCAGTGTCTTTGCTGTATACATATATAGTTTGCACATAGCTTCCATATTATTCTAGTAAAATTTGCATAATTTCTAGCATAATTTATGTAATTTCTATGTAATTAAGGTTGCAGGATTGGGCAATGTCTCAAAAATTTGTCTAATCTCTGGCTCTAATCCTGATGTTTCACTGATTTCTTGCTACAGAGAGGGAGAATAAACAGCCTCATCAGCTTGTATCATTACCATTACAGAATCACAGAGTCACAGAATGGTTGAGGTTGGAAGAGACCTCTGGAGGTTGTCTAGTCCAGCCCTCTGCTCAAACAGGGCCACCTACAGCTGGTTGCCCAGGACCATGTCCAGATACCTTTTGAGTGTCTCCAAGGATGAAGGCTCCAAAACCTCTCTGGGCAACCTGTGCCAGTGCTCCTCACCCTCTCAGTAAAAAAGCTTTTCTTGATGTTCTGAGGGAACCTCTTGTGTTCCAGTTTGTGATCACTGCCTCTGGTCCTGTCACTGGGCACCACAGAAAAGAGCCTGGCTCCATCCCCCTTGCACCCTCCCTTCAGGTATTTATAGACATTGATAAGATCCCCCTGAGCCTTCTCCAGGCTGAACAGTCCCAGCTCTTTCAGCCTGTCTTCACAGGAGAGATGCTCAAGGCCCTTTATCATCTTTGTGGCGCTTCATTGGACTCTTTCCAATCTGTCCATGTCTCTCTCGTACTGAGGAGGCCAAGGGTAGACACAGTACTCCAGGTGTGGTCTTACCAGTGCTGAGGAGAAAGAATTAGAGAATTGTGCAGCTGTATCTTTTGAGTTTACTGATCCTTGCCTTTCCTTCTTTTTGCCCCTTCTCCAGGTCTTTTTGAAGACAACTCTTCAATCTTCAGCAAGACTCTTTGAAGACATTTTGTTGTACTTTTCAGTTTTATTTTTTTCCAGAGAAACTCAATTTCAGTCTTTCTTCATTGTTTACATTTCCTAAGCAGCTTATTAGTCATCCTTGCCCCTCTTCAAATTAATTTCTAGTGGATGTGTAAATATGCATATAACATCCAAAATTAGACACCATGTTCTTTCAGAGGCTCCACTAGTGCCATTTATCAAAATAATTGTCTCCATGTCTTCTGTTTTCCAGTCCTGAATACAACTTTCAATTAGTCTTTCTTCTTTTGCATCAACATTACATTCCTGTTTTAGTTCCCTAGAATTCCCCAAGCCTTTTCTTCAATATTTGAAAATTATTCAGCATTTACGATTTTGCATCTTTGTTGTGGTTTGTTTGTTTTGGTTCGGTTTGGTTTGGTTTTTTCCCCTAGGAGTACTGTTTGCAATTGGTTTTGGAGTGTTTCATCATGTTGATTTCTGAGCATTGCTTCCATCAGTCAGTGTCCACTCTCTTCCTTCTGTGTTATCTGCAAAAATTTGTGCGTTTGTTATTTGACCACATGGGTAGTAATGAAAATATTGACCGTGGACTCATCATATCTTTGTAATACATATCTCAAAATATTTCCCTTTTTGATAATGGATTCTTCTAATTGAATATGTACTCCCATTCCTCATTAGAAATATTTTATCTGCACAAATGCTTTCTTTTTTTCATTAAGACAGTGTCAGATAGAACTGTATAACAGTTTTAACAGAGGTCAAAATATGCTCCAGTTTCTTCCTTCCTTATCCACTAAGCCAGTTCCCTGTAAAAGAAGGAAATTACATTAGTTTGACATGATTTGGTTTTGACAAATCCGTGGTGGCTGTTTGTTATCATTTTAATTATCTCCAAGGTGCTTCTAAGTGGATAGCTTAATAATTTATTTGGTATCTTTGTTGATATCAAAATTAATTCTGTAACTCCCTGGGCTCCGTTTTACTGGTTTATATATTGTCGTGGTTTAACCCTATTTGGCAACTAAGGCCCACGCAGCCAGTCGCTTGCTCCCCCCTGCACTGGGGTGAGGAAGAGAATCAGCAGTGCAAAAGTGAGAAAGCTCGTGGGTTGAGATAAAGGCGGTTTAATAGGTAAAGCAAAACCTGCGTGTGCAAGCAAAGGAAAGCAAGGAATTCCTTCACCACTTCCCATCGGCAGGCAGGTGTTCAGCCAGCTCCAGGAAAGCAGGGCTCTGTCATGTCTAACAGTTACTTGGCAAGACAAACGCCATCACTCCCAGTGTCCACCCCTTCCCTCTTCTTCCCCCAGCTTTATATGCTGAGCGTGAGGTCATAGAGTATGGGATATCCCTTTGGTGAACTGGAGTCAGCTGCCCTGGCTGTGTCCCCTCTGAACTTCTTGTGCACCCCCAGCCCACTCACTGGTGGGGTGGGGTGAGAAGCAGAAAAGGCTGTGTCAGCACTGCTCAGCAGTAACGAAACCATCCCTGTATTATCAACACTGTTTTCAGCACAAGTCCAAAACACAGCCCCATGCTAGCTACTCTGAAGAAAATTAACCCTATCCCAGCCAAAACCAGCACATTCTCCACCCCTTATTCCATACCATTTATATCGTACTCAGGTCCCACAGTGCCCAACACAACCTCATTAACCACCACCCTGCTTCCCATCCGTTGATATAATACGCTGATATCGTTCTCTTAGTCTATGGGCCACCCTTGTAAAATGTCCATAAAATGTCCGTTGAGTCCATGACTTTGGGCTCCATCTCTTATGGTGGTCACTCAGGACAGGAGAGGTGGTATGCTGCATGGAGTTATTGGGCAGCTCAGATCCATATCTATATATGTATATGTAGGCGAAAGGTTTCCCTTTCCATAGTCATCTGGATTCACCCTCATCCTCTGTGAAGTCTCAGCGATGATTATTAATAGTTCAGAGATTTTGTTTTATATTTTCAGGAGAATTTCGTTATTCTGTTCTACATTGAATTCAAACAACCATCTCCTTTCTTCTTTCGCAACTAATCTGTCTGAGATAGCCAACATGAATGAAGAAAATCTTATTTGTTCCATAGAAAATACTTTTCTTGAGGCAGGAGCGAAGCTTTGACAGGACTTGGCTCCCTGCACTTTAACATATTTGTTGATAAATGAGTTAATAAAAGAAATGTAACCAGTTTGTAAAGTTTTGCGGTGTCTAAAGAAGCATTCGCTGATGTAGGTAGCTGCATAAGCGCATGGTGAAGTCTGCCTTGTGTTAGTACCTTGTATGGAGAAAAAAAGATTCAGAAAAGAAACAAGTACAGGTATTTAGCGTGCAAAAGATACTTCATGCCTGTCAGCACAGCCAGTCATATTGAAGCAGGCATTGTGCAAAAAGCATGAGACCACCTAAGTAGTCACTTTATTGAGCATGTAACTACAAGAGCTCACAAGTGAGTGAGATTATATGGTGATAACAGCTCTCAGGATCCAGCTGAACCAGAAAAAGGAACCAAGCCTGTAGGTCTCAATGAGAACAGTGGGACCCCACACCTATGCATAATACAACCAGCGGACCGAGCCACGTTTTTAAGTTTTTGTGTGTTGTTTTTCTACTTCTGAGCCATGGGTACATTTAGAAGGAAAGTAAGTAGATGATCCAAGTCCTTTAATCTCAGAGCCTTGCAAGAAAAGAGTAAGACATACAAACTAAATGCATGTTTCTGTTAATTAAGTGTACTTCTGATGGTGAAGTTTCTGTGAGCATGGATTGTTCAGTCGTTATAATGTGAGCAGTATGGGTAATAATCTATAGATATCTACATCTCTGAGCTATAGCTGAGAAGCAAAGACACCAGAAAGGAAAGGGGTAAATCACTGTACTTCTTTAGTCTGTGTGACTGTTTTTCAGCCTCTACATCCATCTACAAGGGAAGATGCTTAGTGTGATGCTGTTGCCACTGTGCTGCAGAGAATCCACCATTTCCTCACTTCTGGTCTACCCTAGTTCCACTTTGAACCTTGTATTCAGGACAAGAGAAATGGCTGTGCACAGCAGAATGCTTTCAGCAAAAATGTACCATTCCAGGATTTGGACAAACTGAGGGCAAAACAAAAGGAATGAGTTAGTTTGGAGAATGGTACTAAAGCTCAGAATATAAACTCTGTGCAGTATAAACTGCAGAGAAATTGTTGGCTTCAGAATCAACCTTAAATTCTTTGGCAAGTAAGCCACATAAGTCTGATACAAACCACAAATACATTTGACTTTTCCCCAAAAAGAGTCTTTATCCTTTCTAATTTGTTGCTGGATGTCATACTTGCCCATTTTGTTTTGGAAATAAATATTCTGACTTTGAAAATGTTGGCTGCTTTGAAAGTGCAGCTTGG